TGTGCACTGAGAAAAATCTAATAAGTAATAGCTATCAAATGTTGAATGAAATAATTTCAATCAAATGCTCGGTTAAGGAATTATATCCGAGTGAACACCCGAAAATATAGGATAATTTCGGCAATTTTTTGCTGTTAAATAAATAGAAATTTGATTCGAAGATCTTTAATGTATTCGTTTTATTTTTTTGCTTCAAGGTAATGGCGCTGGGAGTTCTGGAAGTGAGACTTCTACTTATTTTATTATTAATTACAAAAAATTCTCAAAATTACTCTGTTTACAGGTTTTAAATATTTAGTAACTATCATAAAATGGTTAAAATCGTTTTACTTTTCTAAATATTTAGTAAATATTATTATGTTATATTTACTAAATATTTAGAAAAATAAATTTGGTTGTACATATAAACGAATACTTAATTGAAAATCTTCGATTTCCTTCATTTTTAATTCGAAATTTTTCTCAGTGCACTTTTTTTTCAATGTGCCAAAAAAGATTCATATTAACAGATGAAGAAATAGAATCTGTTTTGTACATTATCAATATAGATTAATAATTTAATCTCGATTTCTCCAATTTTTCAACTTCAATTTACTTTATCTTTTTTTGGTTTTAAGAAATAGAGAAAGGTGAAGAGTAATTTGAACAATAATGTTAATCTACAGTGATAAAAATGGGCATAAATTGGGCGATATATTTCATCGATTTCGCGAACAGCAAATAATCGCCTTTCTTTTTGTGAAAAGAATCGTGACCAATCGCGAATTTGTTAATCAGTATTAATGAGTATTAATTTAATAGAGATGATGAATAAATGCTGTCATTTTGCGAATGAACATGATGTATTAGCGATTGACGCAAACCATCAGATACTTTCGAAAGTTTTAATTGAAAACGCGTTGAAAACGAGAGTTGAGAAACATTTATCACTGTAAAAAAAGATTTCTACTTTGAGAATCTATTACTTGAAAATCTATTAAGTACTTCTTGAATGTCAAAGCGAACATGTACTATAATATACTCACATATATACTCACATAATATTAACTCCGGATGATAAATCACGAAATCTATAAATAGCGCGATCGGTCGGTCAAACTTCAAAGTTTATTTCTCCGTTGTCGGTTGTCAACGCGGAACTGAGTTCCGCACCACACTAAACTTACCTACAATATAAAGTCTAATCAATCGCAGAAGCGAGCATAAGGCATACAACCAGTCGAGCTGTTAGTCAGTTTTATTCTCGCAGTGGTCGATGATAGATCGAATCATGCCGTCGGAAATATTAACCGGTATCTTGGGCAAGCGTTATAAGCTCCAATCTAGTGAAAAGTTTGACGAATACATGAAAGCTTTAGGTAAGACAAGTACATAAATCCGTTTTTCAGAAGAAATCGATCCTTGTCTATTGATATAAATTACAAATGTATAGATTGGCAAGTGTGTGTATTTATATATTTTTTCTTTGCATATTCTTTATGAGGAATTGTTTTTCTCTGAAAGAATATCGAGAATTCGATGGTCGACCTTTTATCGGTAAGAAACAAAGTGTTTTCCGAGAGATAAACTTTGAAGAATTTTATCAGCTGACAGATAAATTTTGCCATTCAACTTCGAGTGGAGTTTAATAGACATATAATTTAAAAATTATCCTGATCGAGCTTGACGCACTCCCAATCGCTATATGATTTTATCTTTATATTTGTTTCGGCTATTTATGTTTAATTTATTAGTAAATTTAAGTAGCAACTTGTGAACTTGCAAGCTTATGGAGAAAGAGCACAAGCCAGAAGTTTGGAAAGATTTCTTAAAACGTTTCCAATTTTTTGGTCTGAATCGTTGTCTTGAATATTTTTTCTCTTTTAATGATAGCTCGCAATTAAATTGAACGCTTTTACGAGAATAATTATTAAATTAATATCCGCGATGAGGATCTGTGTGACATGAATATATCCAGCAGATTAGAATTTCATAGAAGCGTAGATGATTTTAAAGCAGCTTATGCTCTTCTTTCAGGCGTGGGTATGGTGATGCGCAAAATGGGTAGTAGCGTCAGTCCCGTCGTTGAATTGACAGAGAAGGACGGAGTATACATTCTAAAGACATCCAGCGCTTTTAAAAATACCGAAATAAAGTTCAAACTTGACGAGGAATTTGATGAGGAGACCGTAGACGGCAGGAAGGTGAAGAGCATCTGTACTCTGGAGGGTAACAAACTCGTACAGGTGCAAAAAGGCGAGAAGGGTTCTACGATCGAGAGGGAATTTGGGCCTACGGAGATGAAAGCGGTAAGAGATTTTAGAAGATTATTAGAATTAATAATTTATTTTTCGAACGCGTCACTTGCAATAAAAATGATTAAAATAAAATATTTATATGATTTATATTATAATGAATACAAAAAGTATTTGTATAGGAGAGATATTTTTTGAAAAAATCTTATTTATAAAGAGTAAATATTAATTAATAATTAGCAATTTATTAACAAAGAACAAATGATTGTATATTTCTCAAAATTATTTCACCTAAAATTATGTGCAATAATTAAAATATATCTCATATAATAAGTGAAATATGATATTATTTGGACAAAAATATTCGTATAATCGAGAACTTTAAATTCTAAATTATTTTTGTAAAATTCTTTTTTGTTTATACTAGATTAAAATATACTTATTGTTAATAAGTTGCTAATTAATGTCTATTTTTTACAAATAAAATAAGATTTTTTAAATGAAAATCGTACATATGAATACTTTTTGCATTCACTGTAAATATTATATAACTTTATAAATGTTATTACGTTTCTTGGAGCAAACTATATATTTTTTTACAAGTTTTATTAATAAAAAGTTTAATTCATTCGCGATACGATTAAGTCGTTGATTCTTAAATCGGTTTTGTGTCAATATTTTATCCATAAATTAATATAACGAATCATTTACTGATCAAACTACGTTGATATTTATTATTAATACTATTAAAAGTTAGCAGCAAGGTAATGTCGACCTTTAGTCGCGTAAACATTAAGCAAGAAATATTTCATGTTTCCATATCACTTGTCTTATGTGATAAATGAGATCCGGTTATGGATTAATAAACTAGTCTGTTTCTTGAGAACGCTTGGAAACATCATTAACATTAACACTTGTATATATACGTCGAATTTACAGTAGTATTCTAAAGAAAATTATTTTTAGAATTCTTTATAATTTTTCATTTCTATATAAATTTCAAAATTTTTCAAAATTTTGATATCTTTTTAAAAAATTTCTCGTACTTTTATATATAAAATAAAATAGAAATACCAAAAAAATTTATATCTTTTTTAAATGCATATAAATTCTGACATACTAAGATTCTATCATTTCCGAAAAACATTTATAGTCTGAAGAAATTTAAGGTATTTGTTATAAATTTAAAATTTGTTTAAATTTAGAAATTGTTATAAATTTAAAATATAAAGAATTCGTGTATGAAAAATATGATATTTTGAGAATTTTTTTCAAGATTTTAAATGCACATAATTTCAATTGCATTAACAATTAAATAAGTATCCTAGAGAAAAATTGTTTTCTTATGGTTATATTTTTATAACCATATCGTTATATTTTTTCTTTAAACCGAGAGCAATTTTCATTATTTTCATGTGCGGCTTTAAAAACCTTACTCAACCTGCGAACTCGGATGATATGCAATAGAACATGAATTATAGGAATGATGATATGCAACAAAACATGAGTTGTGGGAATAACGTGATTAATCATGGTGGAAAATGTATTTGTCACTCGTGTGCGTGCATCCTTCCTCTCTGAATAACTTGAACTTTGATTCGTGTCACAGTGATGCGGGCGCAGGAGTTGCCAATTAAAGTACAAAAGCTATACGTGGAGAAACGTGACGAGGGACTGTTGCACGAGCGGCTAATGTTATAATGATTCGTCAAATGTCCGGTCAATTATCGCGTGCGCTCCTCCTGTTCGTGACACGTACAATTCTACAGTACCGAGCTCCGAAACGGTGCCAATAAAGATCTATTGATCCGTCTGGCGATACGTGTTAATACCGTGAGACACCGACACGGGGATAATTCCCACTCTTTCGCTCTTCTACTTAGAAACTATTGCTATTAATAATTCCAAGAGATACCGTTATGCCAGAGAATTCTATCATCGTCAAATATTAACTGATATCATATACTATTTCTGTTGTAGATCATGAAGGTCGATGACATAGTCTGCACAAGGGTATATAAACTTCAAGAATAAGGAGGCCAGTACCAAAGCTGAAGATGGTGCACAACTCCATACAGGTGCTTCAAAAGTAACTTCTGAAAACGTGTAAATTATTGTTTGAAATCCTCGCTTGAGCATGAATAAGATATCCAATTATAAAATGTAGTATATCTAAAAAAACATTTTTTAGATATATATGTTTAAGAGATATCTAAAAGATGTCTTTTAGACATGTCTGGGTATATCACGCTGCCATGATATTGGATTGTATGTATAAGCTAATTGTAACTCGTGTTGAAATGTAACTTAAAAGAGATTATAGAACTTACATTTTTTACAGAGTTAAAACTCACATATTTACATGCGTTCGTAAAAAGGATGTATCGAATGATAATCGAAGTATAAATTGATCCATCTGTTGTGCACATTTTCTATTTATGTATAGCATATTACATAATAAAATATGTAATACCGTCAGCGAATTATGTTCCACGTACAGCAATCGCTGTACTACCTATTCTATGAATTTGCTTTTTTCTACGAATAATAATGTCTAATGAAAATATACATGTGTTTTCATTCAAAAGTTTCCTGACTGCTAACTTCTTTTAAGGATGAGGTATATGATGTATACATAACGAAATAAAATACTTCTTATTTAAATATATTAAACATATTTTTAAAAATAAGAAAAAAGAATCAATAAAAATATGTAGAAAAAATATTTAAGTATTTATTAAAGTAATTTTTATACATAAATGGGCATCTGAATATATTTTATTTCTAACTTGATACGTTTATATTATCACTGTTTATCATTCCAAATTTCCAATTAATGGAGAGATCTGTAAACGAAATATAAGAAATTTTTATCGTATATATCAGATATATCAATGCATTACAAAATATAAGATTATATAAAATATAAAATATTTTTATATATTATATAAAATATAATTGTGAAAACTAGTATTAAATTAATATTACGATAATCTGATTGTTTATATTTGATTGTTCAATTAATTATAAAAAATCTTACGTAATATTCCATGTAACATGTATTTCCATTTTCGGTTTTAATCATATATTGAAAACATAATAGACCGGCGTTATTAGTTCTTAAGGAAACCTTGCTCGCACATGATAACGCTTTCATTGCTAGTTTAATATACTCTAATTTAATTTTGGATGTAACCGTTGTCGTACATTGAAATGTGTCTATTAAATCGTTATCATGTGGCAAGTCGATGTGGCAAATGCTGCCTATACCTTCCAAACTAATTCTGAAGAAGGGTTTTTCCGGCGATAAACATAACTAGAACATAAAAGTGTTATATTTCGAAGAGACATTGAAGTCGAAAAAAATAAATTTCTAGGTATTTTAAAGCTCGAGTTGAAATTGAAATTGCTCATTGTACCTCGACTAGTTGACTAGTTGGATCTAATTCAGCCATGACAGCCTTCAATAATTCTGTTTGCAACACTACTTTATTTACAATGTTTTCTGTATCAAGATGGAAATCTAACAATTCTTCTACTTCTAAAGTTTTCAATGAGCAGTCTGTTATGATCCCATCTTCTTCAATGATAATACTTAGAGGGTAGCCTGTACCCTACAATGAATAATTATGAATAATGAATATGATATCAATATTGTTACAATAAAAAAATGATATCGTTGCTTTAATATTATGATTAAATAATGTGATATGCATTTTGAATTGTTTTTTTTTAAAGAAGAAAATTTAAAAATTTTGGCCATGAATGGAAATTATGCAGTTATCATCTTGAAAGTCCATACATAATAAAATTTTCAAATTCCATTAATAAAAAAAAGTTTATTTACCCAGAAAGTTTGAAAAATCTTCCAAAAATAATTAAGTAGATTGTTTGAACGCTTTGCAAAAAAAGCTCATTTTATTTCTAATGAACGTTAGACATCAAAACTAATGGTGTGTTTACATGTAACACATGTGAGACTGTTAAATACTGTAACAATACACTATCAAGGAGAATATCCTATTTAAAATAAATGAAACACCAAATATATCGAAAATTGAAGCCGTTAGATAAAAATATTTCAGATAAAAGTTTAAAACGGCAACAGATCAATGTTCGAAATAAATTGATTTTCTAAGGTCTGCATGAAGATCACCTCCATTTTTTTAATTCTAAATTTTTTATGTAATATAACTTCTTTAATTTTAAGGTTTTATAGGTTCGTTCACGTCTAAAATTAGCCATTTTTAAATTCGCTCCTTTAGTATAAATTTTTCCTTTTTAGTTGAATTGCATTGTTCATTTTTTTCTCTTTTTCTTTCTACATTAAAAAAAGAAAGACAAAATGAACAATAAAAGCTAAAAAAATAGGCTTTACAACTCAGAAAAATAAATGTAAGAATTTATATAAGTTTTTTTGTTTCGGACTTTAAAAATAGATAAAAATTATCCTGTTTTTATACTGAAATGGCACGTTTTTCGTTTACTTTGTAAAATATTTGCACTGTGACGGAATCTTCTTGCGAAGTAGGCCAGAACATACAAAGGCAATCCACTAATATGTTCAGACTTAATGAAAACGTCACGTCTTCTTTCAATTCAAATTCATCAAAAACTGTAGATGGGATATATGCACTGGCTTGCATACATTTTGCATCCTCGACTGTGATTTTCAATCCATTTTCACTACCGAGGCAAGTAGCTATCTAAATAATAACCATACATTATATCATTTTTATCATTATAGAAAAACGCAAATATATTCTAACATAAATACATATTCTGTAAGTACCTCTTTAAAGTTCGTAGCTTTTAATAATTCTATTATAATCTTTAGATTTGTCAATCCCACTTTTGCAACCAATATGTAGTCTTCTGTGTTAGAGGACATCATATTTGTTTGAAGCCTGATATAACAATAAATTATTAAACTGCTTTTGTGTTAGTTGCTGATGTAACAGCTTCTCCTTGTCAATACTGGCTAGCCAAGTTGCCAAAACATGTTTACATGTAAAAGCAGACCGATCTGTTAAAACCTGATGTCTATAACGTTGTAAGAGCTTTTATAAGAACTTTTCATAATATCTTGTATAATATGTGCAAGAGATATTTCTTCTTATACATGTAAAATTTCAAAAAACATAATTGCTCTGTTTTTTGAATAAATAATTTATTTACATAGAATATTATACCTGAAAGCAGCACAAGTACAATAATTTATTTCTGGAAAAAGTGTGTACAATACTCCAGAATGCCCTTTAACTTGCATTAACCAGCTGGCCTCGTTAACCCTTTTGCATGGCTCTGTTATAATCGCATTAGATGTAGAAATTTGTGTCACTCGTTGTTGCTCATACAAATCTAAGGCTCTTTCAAATACTCCATCAAACAGCTTGTGTAGTTTCAATAGATTTTGATCGGAGACTGAAAGTATTTATCATTTTATTGTCGAATAGACTATAAATACTTATATTTAATAAGTTTTGATTTCATTTGAAAATTATTAAATACTTTTAATAATTTTTCAAAAATAGGGAGAAAAATTTAAGAAAATGAAAAGTAAAAAATCAGAATTAATTAAGAAAATTAATGCTTTTATTTTAACATATTTTTATTTTAATATACTTTTATGGTCATATGTAATCTTTATCTCAAATAAAATTAAAAATAAAGAAAATTTGTTATGTATTTATTTGTTATAAATTTTGGCTGTAATCAAAGTCTCGCTACAAATGCTTTGATGGATTAATTGGAAGAAAGAATTTTACAAACAAATAAAAAACGTTTCAAAGCATTTACAATATCGCGTTATCATACTCTTTGTCTATTTAACTTAAATCTCTTCCCTGGTGGAAAAAATTTGTCAGTTTCTGAAAAATATAAAAAATAACAAATTCTAACAAATTCAGACAGTATTACCGAAATTTGATGGAAAGTATTTCATTTTATCTATAATCGAATTTGTCCGAATATGTACATTTCGATAATTTTCGGAAACAGGACGATTTTGGACAAATTTTTCCACCAGGATTTTCATTATTCTTCTGATTTTTATATTCGCGATAATTTTTGAGAGAGAGCGTAGCAAGCTCCAAACTCGTGCCATACGCTTTCTTTTCATTTATAAATTGAAAAAAAGGAACAGAAACAGACTTATGTCAACATATTAAATGTAATGTGTCACATACATTTTTTCTCTCTCTCAAAATCGTCGGCTACTTCCTTCAGTACATTATCCACGAAATCTATATATTTCTGATCGTACACAGTAGGCGGTTGAGAGCCGGTATTTACTACCTGTTGATATGAATTCATGTAGTAAATGGAGGTTACGGTTCCGTATTTGAATCTTTCCTGAAACCAAAATGCTCATTCGTTGTCATATCTCTTACTTAATGTGCTTTTAAAACGCGATTTGAACTTGACTCGTTTTTATCACAAATAAATGGAAGAGGAATATAATCTGACAATCGTAAAAAAGTCTGTAAACTGCTATTAATTGAATAATTATTTACCCGAAATTATTATGAAGTGTCCAGAAATTAAAGAGAAACCAGAGAGAGATCATGCCGGCTTTTTTCTTGTTACCGTCGAAATCCCGTACACTACCGCCAATACATCCATTTTCAGTTTAGGAATTACGTGGAACTACGTACATTTTCTGATGCTATCGATAAAATTGTATTACTGACGAATCAATGGGCCTCGGAGATAATTGAAGAACGATGATTAATAAAAATTTACCAACAATTAATAAAAATTTATTATGGTTATTAACATAAATATTTCAATAATACATTATTAAATTCGTGATTTTTTATTATATAAATACTGTATAAATAAGTATGCATACTTTTAATGCTACAATATTGTATTAAAAATAAATAGGTAATAAATAATAATAATTAAAACAGATGTTTCAATCTTTAAAATACAAAAAAATTAACAAACAACAGGGATAGAATTAGCGGATAATATAGCGCAAGTTTTGTAAATTAAAAATTTACAAAACTTGTGCTTAATTATCCGCACCTGGTTTTCATTACCTCTCTGTTGTTTATTAGTTATTTTTGTAATTTAAATGAACAATAATTAAAAAAATATAAAAACTCACAATCTGCGAGCTAGTTACCCTCCCGAATATTCAGAGTTTATCTTTATATATTTTTAAAAAATTTAGATTGATGTTACATATCAACTCACTTTGTATAGATTCTCTTCTTTCCATACAACAGAAAGATTGCAGAATGATTTCACTGAAACATTGCAATATTGGTGATTGCAAAACATTACTGAATCATTGTTACAAAATTCCAACAATGTTAAGATGTCCGCTTTTTGTTATATTGCAACAAAACATTCCAACAATATAATGTATTTGGATAAATTTTTTATGAAGCTTTAAAATGAAAACTATATATCTTACTAACTTTAATTTTTCTACAAATCGCATTTCTAGTGAAATGCTTTCCAAAAGCAATTTTTTATGATAAAACCATAAAATATTCCAATAAATACAGTATTAATTCTGAAAGATAAATTTATTCGTAAAGATAGAACATGTATAAGCCCCGAATAAATTACAAATATTATCCACATTAATATAATAATATAGTCGCTTGGTAAATTAATCATGGATTAAATAAATTAAGCAATTAATTGCAGTGATTCTTTTCAATTTGAAGCCACTCCGATTCAATTGAAATCGACTAAAAAATGACAGTATGAAATTTATCAATAATATTCGGACGTTGGTTTATTCTTGCGTTCACATCAGGTATAAATACATCATCAATCATAATTAATATTTCATAATTAACATAATTAATATTTCGATAAATCGTTTTCAATTTAATTACTTATCATCTTATCCGATAATGATACATTGATTGTATCCAAACTCGATATTATACAATCTTTTGATTTTATATTTAAAATAAATATAAAACTTAGCTAATGAAATAGCCGTCAAATAATAAATTAATAAATTTTTTATTTAAATATAAAATGAATTATATTAATTATTATATCATAAAAATGGCTATTAAATTAAAAGACTGTACTACAAATATTGTAAAAACATATATTTTTATATTATCATTATTGTAACAATTAAAGAATTACAGTTTTGCAATGTTTGTGAAATATTACAAGCATATTACTGACATTTTGCAGGCATATTGTTAATTTACATTTCTGTAATACCTCTGCAATATTGCAATCTGTAATATTGCAACATTGCAGTAATATTAAAAAACAAAAAACATTGCAGTACGTTTTCGGTATAATTGTAATCTCTGTCGCCATCGCCTCACGATAATTGCTCACGCCGATCGTTCATGTCCGCCCGCTAACAATTTCTTCGTCAGAGAAAATCAAGCTGAATCTCCTCAGATCCACTCAAAACCTCCATCCTTTTTAATTCTCTCGCTATATCCTCTTTGTAACCTCTTCTTTTTGCCATGCTACATGATATATTCACAAATGCACATAATAACATATCTAAACAAGACAAACAAACAAAATTGTATATTATAACGTAACAAAAATGTACATATTACCAAATATTTTTCATTATATTATCATTATAAATTTAACTTTATTTGTTTAATCGAAAAATCTTTCCTTGTATTCATTGTAAGTTCTCCCGCGATTGCACTTCGCCTTCTCCCCGATCACTTGGATTAAGTTCCATGACCGAAAGCCAGGGCATGGACGTACTGGTACTTCTGGCGTTAAAGTGCACCTTCGTGGTACACTGACCCAGTTTGAGTCCTTTAAACTAAAAGTACGTTCAACTCGTTTAACGGAGCACGAGTTGAGGTTTTCACTTCGTCCTCCATTCGACCCCCGGCTCATTAGGAGCCTCAGGATGAAGCGATTATCTCTCGATTTGTGTCGGTCCTTCCCCATAGCTCCCTTGCGATCCGGACCCTGGACACGACCCCCTCAGCTCCATGTATGCGGAATTTGGACGTAACAGAACTTGAAAAATTGGGAGCTCATCCGGGACGAAAAAATGTAATCTTGACAAGCAGAAATGAATGCAAGGAATTCAGGCAATAAATCAGAAATAGAGAACCTCTATAGGATCACGATAGAAAATTTGAATAAAATAAAATCAAATGCACACTACCTCTACTCTACACAATCTCTATCCTTATCAAATCCTCCATCGCGTTTTATGAATGAATCGTACGAATTAAATATCTGTGAAATATAATTGTTATCTTGATCCTTTTATGTATGAATAATTAATTTTTTTGGATAATTCTCTTTTTGTTCTATGTCTTTTTTTATTTCTTTTTCTGTCCTTTTTTCTTTTTCAGGAATTATTAAAACATGGCAGATTAATCAAAAGTGAGTATTGTCCAGAATTTTGTTAAAAGGTCTCTGGAATAAACTGTTAGAATCACTTTCAGAACGCTTTGCGCGCTCTGTCGTCCTTTATTTTCTCTTATAACACAAGCATGTACACAAACTCACATATAAATATCAGCGTGAGCATTAATGTCGACTATGTCCTTTTTCTGTTGTGTTTTGAGTGTTTTGACTAAATTCAAAAGAATAAGAATTACAACGTCTCTAAAATATTTTTAATTTTTCTGACTTTAATCAGAAAATTTGAGAAATATGTTTCGATTTTTCGTGGCGATTGTAATACTTTCCGTGCTAATCAACGCGGAACTGCGAAGGTGAGCACATATAAACGTTGATTCCCAATAAATATCCCAATAAATACATACCTCAACGATTAGAACAAATCTGTAGAAAAATGTCAAATACATGTCAAAGTGAAACAAATAGAAATGCTTTTAAGAATTTTATTAGGGTTTATACTTTTAATTTTTTTGTCATGAAGAAATTCTGATTCTTTAAAATAATTCTTTAAAATAAATTAAACAGCATGTAATGTGTAAATAGCATGCGTAAATGCATAAATGCAAGTAATATTTATTTCTTAATATCAAAATATGAGGATTTAATAATTTTTAAAAATAAAAAATGTTTTAAGATCATTAATTAGTCCAAAATTTATATATGTATATTAGTATGAAATTCGTATATTATATTCGTACATATGTGTACATGTGAGACATATATAATATAATATTGAATTTATTTATTGCTTTAAGAATTCCGTTGAACACGATAAACTCCATTCAAAGATCACTTCCTATTGATCATCGACAGGCTCGTTTAACTAGAAGTACTGGCGTTATAAGGTTACCCTTGCATTATGATGGAAATGATGCATACTATGGCGCTATCACAATTGGAACTCCACCACAAAAGTTTAATATACTTTTCGACATTACTTCCTCAGATTTCTGGATACCATCGAGAATGTGCAGTTCTAATATTTGTTGTAAGTCAAAATATATCATAATACATAGTTGAAAAAGTTACTTCATAAAAGTAACACGTTACTAAAATGATGATTAAAATGATAAAATTCAAAAAGTAATGCGTTAAAAAGTTATCGTTATCGTTACTTGGAAAGTTACTTTTTTATAACATTAAAGATTAAGATTAGATTTAAAATTAAATTTAAAAATTAAATTATCTAACAATCAATATAAAAATCAATATTAAAACTTAAAATTCTAAAGTCTTATAAAAAACTTTTCTTTATATTAAATTTATATCTAATGAATCTTCGATAATTCCCAATATAAATTTCCATTTTTTTTTTTAAATATTAATTTAATATTGCTTTAATATATGATTTTTTCTTACAGCGTTACATAATAGATACGATCACACTAAATCCAGCACATACATATCAAATTATAAATCTTTTAGTTTTCTATATGATAATAAGGATAAGCTGACGGGACATTTATCTACTGATGTAATAAATGTGAGTCATCATCAAGCAAACAATTCTATTTGGCTTCAATTTTAGTGTAAAAATATGCTAAAAACACATCAATTTTTTATAGATTGCTGGAACTAATATTTCAAATCAGACATTCGGAGAAATACATATAATCGAAATGATTCGATTCAACAATGTGAAATTCGATGGTATCTTGGGAATAAGTTTCTTCTCAATATACAAGTATTCCGAAACGTCTCTTGTTTTTACCAATATGGTTGAACTAGGCCTGTTATCACGACCTGTTTTTAGTTTCTATTTAAATCGGCAAGTATCTTTCCATATGTGCCCCTTTTCCAAAATTATTTTTCACGGATGGTTTATCCTCTCATATTAGAAAATTTGCCTTTCTATATAAAAATTTGCCTTTCTATATAAAAATATTGTTTCTTCATATTGAAAAATATATAATCTATACAGGAATCCCTGGAAATCCAAATTGAATAATGAACTGATATTGGGTGGCTCCGATAAAAGGCTTTACAAAGGCAAATTAACGTACATTAATGTCATCCGTGAAACAGTCTGGAAATTTACTATAGATCAGTACGTGATTCTTTTTTAAATTATATGTATGTTAGCTGTAAATTATATGCCAACTAATTGTTAATAAGGCTGTTGTACTGTAGAATTGAAATAGAAGATGCAGTTTTATGCATGGATGGTTGTGAAGCTATTTTCGACACGCTTACGCTCAAGCTAACTGGACCATCATCAGATATCGCAAATATTAATAGACTGATCGGAGCTACTGATACTGAGGGAGAATTAATTGTAAATAATGACACTTATTGCAATGGCAGCTATTTTTCAACCATAATATACAGATTACTAAAATATATTAGATAATATTTGATATATATTACTGATTATACACTAATATGGTTTACTAACATCAAATTTTGTTTAAAGGTGGACTGCGACAAGATTTCTAATTTGCCCTACATCTACTTCTTCTTAGGTGGTAAACTATTCGAACTCACTGGTGAAGATTATATTATTAAGGTAAATATCATCAAATAACGTTTCAAAATGTTTTAGAGTAGAAACATCATGCTGTAATTAATTTGTTACAGCTCGAACAAATCAATAAGACAAAGTGTATAAGCGCTTTTAAGAGTACGAATACGGGCAAAGATATGGAAACGATGTGGATTTTGGGCAATGTATTTCTTCGTCGTTACTATGTCGAGTTCGACATGGAAAATTACCGAGTGGGAATTGCTCCTGCAAAATAAATGTTACTTTCTCAAGAGGTTATTAAAAGTTAGATCTAAATGACAATTCTAAGCGTATAATTGGATCAAATTTTTTTTATTCCAAATTCTTATTCTTATTATTTTTTTAATTTTCATTTACGATTATCTAATTTTTAGATAAATACATATGTCATATTTTAAAAATTCAGAACGAAGATATACGATATTATTTTTACCTGCCTACATGAGCTTCAGTAAAGGAATGTCTGCGTTAAATATGTTGTGCTGCCCGCGTTAAAATCTCAAAGCCGATAACCGTCGAAATATTAACACATATTACGAAATAAATAAAATAATCTATTCGTTGCATTTTTTTGCGATAATTAGACTTTGTTGCTTTATTTCTTAGATTCGTTATGCGCACAGATGATTTACATATTTCAATTTAATGATTTAGATTTCAATTGTGTTACATAATAAACGATTATCTCGATTTATATATTAGTTTATAATAACTTTATTTTATATAAAATTTGCGCAGTGTACACAATATTTAAAAAAAAAAATGACGCCTTGCGGATTTTGTTACTTTTGAATTATTGAATTCTGTCACTCTCGTCTTATTCTGTATTCTTAATCCAGAAAAAGTATAAATAAATTATATTCAAATTCATAATGCAAAGTAAGATTTGTTGAATTCTAAGCATCAAATTAAAAACATGATATTAATCACGCTTTGTATAAAACAATAGCGTTCAGCAAGAAAAACTAATCAGTTAGTGCTTAGTGAATGATAATGTAGTCCAAATGTCGATTTTATGTCAAAAACGAAAAAAACGTGAAAAATTACAGTTACTGATTTTTTTGTTACTGACTTTTAATGTCGACTCGTAATGTTTGCTTTATATATGAATTTTATACTTTGTACGTATAAAACAATCTTGATTTAGACTAGAGTCTAGAGATGAACAATCAATGTTGAGTACTTAAAATTAGGTTTAGACATTTTACTTAATACGAAAGTTTAGACATTTTACTTAATACGAAAGTTAGTTAGTTAGAAAGTTTGTACGTATGCATGAGTGCGATATTGATGTAGCATATAAAGATATGTCGATGTGTCGCGTTTTATCGGTAAAACAGCAATCTCATCGGAGTTCGGGTTTCACTTTAGGATCCTCTTAAGAGGATCCTCGAGTCGTCTGTCTCATCAACTAAATGCAATAAATTTTGTATAACAATTATTTTTTCCTTTTTTATAGATTTGAAAATCCTTTTCCAATATTAAAATTAAATCCAATATTTAAATTAAAATATATGTATTTGTACATGTCTGTGAGATAGAGATTATGTTGAAAAAAATAATACATTTAAATTGAAATTCTCTTTATCATTTCTTATCTCCAATATGATGTCAGAGATTGTCAATATTTATTTGATATAAAAATTTTGCAATCTATACTTACGAAATTGTGGTACACAGACTAATAGTTTATATGAACAAATAACGTCGAGTTCTTAGAATTAGATTTAGATAAAAACTAATTCTTTTAATTAAAACATTATCATTATATGAAAATTTATGTATATGTGTGCAGAGATATTGTATTATATAAAGATGTGTTGATATGACACATATTTTTTGTAAATGGCAATCTCGTTGGAGTTTGAACTTCACTTTAGGATTCTCTTAATGCTGATGTTGGAGAAGTTATATCGACAGAATCCCGAGAGCATTTCGTTTTTACAACAACTAGATCTCGAAAGAATACAAGCATCCTTAAAGAGTATAATCTAGTTATAATAATAATTATAAAAACGTTTATACAATTTTCTTTAACTTATTGTGGGTATTTGAAGTAGCAAGAAAAATTATATATTGTCTATTACGTGTCGTAATTATTCGAAAAATGGAATATATAATTTGTCACAGTTAGATAATATATCCCGTTTTAAGTTATTATATACATATATTTTTATATAAATATTTTTAGGGATTTCAAGCAATTGGTCTGTTCGACTTGCTTACACTTTTTACACTTAAAATGAGATAGATAAATATTTGGCGCTGAAAAGAGGGAAAGCAAAGATGCTAAGTGTAAAAAGTGTAAGCAAGTCGAACAAATCTAATGTGAACAAACCATAGATATATTGCATGAGAATCCGGGCTTAATACATTATCACGTGATCGAATATGTTGGTACCACTGACCATTCGAAAACAAGTTCAGTTTCAGTAGAATGTAAGCGTGTTTGAGCCGTTATGGGTGTCATGTTCTCTTGAATTCCTGACTTTTCGAGCGAATTGCTCTGTTCTTACATTATTACTGTTGTACATTATTACTATTGTAGCAGACATTTTCTAAGAAATTAAAATGAGCATTCGACGGAGACGTGCCCATAATTTTACAGATTCCTTAAATAGTTTTCGTAAGTACGATAATGTTTTCTTTATATATTGTGTTTACAGTCAACATTTATAAATAAAATCTGTTGTAATTCTACACATAATCCTATACCGTTTTGACTAAAAATTTTAGGCACTCATTTTTTTCATTCTTCTAGAATTCTTTTATTTACTTTGTTGTACTTATTGGTTACTGGCATTATACAAGTTTAAAATCTGTTCTACAATATGCTTTTTATTCCCTATTTCTTGTTTTTTGCTGTTATTTACATCTTATTTTTTTGCTTTTTGTCCAGTTTTTTATTTTATATCACCCGAGATAAAAGTTAATGAGTTTCGAAAGAAACAAGAAATATGTAGCAAGAAATAATTTTCGATAAAATGGTTACAAAGGAGAAAAAAAAACAAAAGCAGAAAACTAAGAGCACATTATAAAATAGGCTTAAAAGATTCTTGAAACAAAGGATAATTTACAGCAAATTTGTATCTAAAACTTTAAATGCTAGTTAATAAAGTGCTAATATTTTTTATCAATGCTGTATATATTGTGTGTGTAATTAAATACTGTATATATACATATGTGGTCTTTAATACCTTTTTCTATTTTTATATAGTATACAGTAAGTGTACTATATAAAAATGAGAAGGCAATCAATAACCACGTGTATTTACTTACTCAAAAAAAATTTTTAGTAAAATAATTAATTTTTATAATAGTTCAACATCTTAACATTCAGACTGTAGTGGCGCTTTGTATTTAAAGTAATGGAATTAATTTTTATATCTTTGTTTTTTAGCAAGGATAGTGTAACACAAGTGAATTATTTCATCCTTGTTTACCATTGATAAATAATAAAGATATAATAAGTCTGTTCTTTTTCCATATCTCAGGAATGAATGTTTTTGCAGTTTGTGTTTTGTCTTTTTCTCTCCCTTTCTCTCTCAATATAAAAAGAAAAAGAAGAAAAATGAATCATGCAAAAGCTTTAGTCCTGATATAGAAAAAAACAGACCTAACAATCATTACTATTCTTGCCAATAAACATCAATGTTTATGTAAACCTTATTATAGTTTTATAATATGTTCAAATTTTTAATTAAAATTTTATCTTCTTTTTAGTGACACAAGTCGACACAATTGTTTTATCTTTCTTTGCACTCCATGGGTATAAATAAAGACAGAACGATACTAGTGTCGACTTATTTGACATTAAATAAAAAATACTATATATAAATATGCATGTTTATAGGTCAAACAATAACGATAAATAAAGATGAATCAAATCAGGTATCAGATGAATTTCATAAACATGGCTGTTCGGAGAATACATCTTGTGTTGAGTCTGTAATTCTAGCTGGTAGTTCAACCAATCAGCAATTTATCTCAGATTCGTGCAATATTGCTGAGAAAAGTTATAATATGGGATATAAAAACAGACATCCTTTGTTGATAGACGATGCATTAATTGTATCTGATGGAACATCATATTTGTCAATCAAACCAGACTTGAATAAATGTATAAATTTATTTAATAATGAATATCTGAATAATGAATATGATGGTGTTAAAAAACAATTAAGTCCTACACTATCTGAAACTAATGTCAGCCAAGACATTAATTTTTGTAATTTAAATAAAAAGTTCATGGGACAACAGGATCTTAATAATCGTCCACGTTCCATGTCAGCAGAGTCATTGAGAAATATAATACTTAATCGAGAACTTAAAAGATCAAAAAGTTACACTGTGCTTGATAAAACTTTGAGGGATAGGAATTATAATATTAAAAGTGATCGGCTTTCTTTTCTTACTAAAAATACAACGAAAAAAATGAGTCGCAAGGAAGTTGAAACAATCGTTCCTTCTTTTGAAGCATTATCATTATCAAATTCTGTTTTATTAAACAGAAAAGATGATTTTCCAAAAGAAAATCAGCATGATTCAAACAGCGAAATGAGTTCCAAAGACGAACTTAGTCCTTTTGAATTAAAAACATTGCTACAGTCATTGGCAGATCAAAAGTTATTGAAAGAAACAGCTGTGCAACAACGTTTGCTAAGGCGTTTATCTGTAGATTACCATGACGCACCAAAAGTTTTTACAGAAAATTTACTAACGATAATTGAAGAATCTGTTATAAATAACGATTCTCACGCACAGTCACAATACCCAGAACTCAGTTTATTTAGATTTAATGAAGAACTTCGAAAAATGTGTAAATTTCTAGAGGACGAGACCATTCCTGAATGGCCAGAATCTCCTGGCATGTCGACACCAATTTGTACGAAAAGAAAAAGCCAAGAGTCTCATGATCTCTTGCGAAAATCTTTGAGTGTTTTATCTCCTGATAAAGGCCTACATTTTACAACGCCTGTTTCTTCTCAATGTAATACTAAAAGCCCCAAGAAAGCGTGTTGGCGTATGTCAAAAAATACTTCTTATATTACAAAAAATTTATTGAACGATACAAATACATTTGAAAGCTTAGAAACGATGTGCAAAAAGTTATTTCCTGATAATGACTATACTGTCCCAAGGGAGAAGAATTTATTACAGTCTCCTTTACAAAGTATGGCTAATATCTTGCGTACCTGTGAAAACCAAATGGCCTCTCTGGAGAATTCACCTATCA